TTCAGAACAGTCATTGAACTGACTACTTGTGCATTCGTCGGAATCTGAAAAAATTCAAATGCTTAGATTTTTATAGTATATTAGTAACAGTGGCGTGCACGATAAAATACGAGAAGTAATCAGAAAATATTAATTTAAATTAAATATTGATAAAATTCGCGCAAAATGGTAGGGACAATACCATTACCTTTCTTTTAGTTCAAACTCAACTGGTCACACATCTTGACTTTACTCTTATTTTAATTTTATAACCAAAAGACCAATATTGAAAATCTACTCGTAACTAATTTCAATAAACACATATCACCAGCACAGAGCTCACAGCTATAATTTTACACAATTCGTTAATAAATTAATCCACTGTTGACTAATTAATACTTATTCACTTGCGCTTAGAAAGACAAATAACAATACATATTCAAAAATAATAAAATGACGAAAATATATATGAACAGTTTACCGACCAATCAGAGCGTCCCGTTTCATTTGACAATTAACGAACGAACGAAGTTTCGTTTTAACATTGATAGATGGCACTTATTAACAAATCATAAATCAAATATCGTTTTAAATATCGGTTAACATTTGTAATTCGTAATGTTGATTAAAAATATGTAAGTAAGAATTTAAAAATATAGGTTTAGTTGTTATATGCGTAGGATATGCAGTGCTTATTTGCATCTATGTTTGCACGCCCCTGAGTAATAAGACAGCCAAAATTGTGGTTGTTGTAAATGTTCTGTATTTATAATTCACTGACTTGAGAGTGTTCACTTACGACTGACATTAAGGCTCTCAATAAAATCTTCAGATGCATAAATTTCTGTTCCACCAAGACTATAACTATTATTCCGTAGATATTTCTCTATAACTTCCTTCAGTCTGCTTTCATGAGCGTTATCGGAAAGCTTAAGATAAATTCGTTTAAGTTAAGCTGCAAACAACATATTTCAAGTCTTTACTGAATGGTTACCTGAACGTAGAAATCATTGATAACTCCCTCATATGCACCGTCTTTGGTTCTCATCTCAATTGGATGGAATCCTGTTATGTGGACTCCGTGATAAACATCCCGTAAGTCTGATTGCATTATCATTCTATTTATTCCGTCATGAGTAGCCAATGACAAACTCTCATATTCTTTAGTAGAATTGTCCGATAAATTCTTATGGAATTTGAGCACCTTATTGTTTCTAGATCCTAGTCCTAATCTTACTGAGTACGTGTATGTTGCTAAAATTGAGCACATTTAAAATATTATGTTGAAATAGTTAAAATACTAACTGGTTGTGTATTTTTAGTATAATAGAAAATAGTAATATCTTACGTTTACACGGTCGATCCTGGAACATTCTAGCGAAACCTGGTCTACACACGCACTTCATAACACTATCCATCCTCTGGCATCTTTCATTTCTCAAAGCTTTACAATCTGGTTGACATGCTTTACCATATCCTATATGAGTGAAAATTAATTCATTAAAACATATTATTATATTATAGCATAATAAGTTCCGCGAAAACATCATTCGCGATTCATTCTGAAGGAATTTATATTTAATCTATACTAATATTATAAAGCTGAAGAGATTGTTTGTTTGTTTGAAAATGCTAATCTCCGAAACTACTGGTTCGAATTGAATAATTCTTTTTGTGTTGGATAGTCGAGGAAGGCTGTGGGCTATATAACATCACGCTACGGCCAATAGGAGCAAAGATATAGTGGTAAATGTGTAAAAAACGGGAGAAATTATTTCATCTTCGAAGCCTTCCGTTGCGTGCGCCGTGAAAACGTTTCAAGATACACAAAAAATATGTATTAAAGAATAATAGCTCTTTTAATGATCTAAAAAACAGTCCGCGACAGTATATGTCTATCTTTTAAGACTAACTCACAAGAACCGTTTTTATGGTACCTAATTTGGTGGAAATATTTTGTTTAAGTTATATCAACATAATAATATTAACCTTTATTCAAATAAACAAATAAATATGGTGTTGGTTAAGAGTACTTCATCTTCTATATATATAAAAATGGATTACTGTTCCTTAGTCTCGCTAAAACTCGAGAACGGCTGAACCGATTTGGCTAATTTTAGTCTTGAAATACTCCTGGAAGTCCAGGGAAGGTTTAAAAGGTGAGAAAAATTGGAGTAATTGCCGGGAAAACCCTAAAAACAGCCCTTTTCTATTTCCCATACAAACGTTTTTTTGACATTAGATTTGACAACTAACTAATATGTCAATTCTGTTTGATTGAAACAGAAAAAAACCTGATTATTTATGGCCTGTAAGACGGAATAGAGTTCGAGAGGTCAGCTATACCTACATATATTACTCTTGACCAAACTAACGCGGACGAAGTCGCGGGCAAAAACTAGTTGTGAATAAAATTGTCTTTGACATAACTTAATTTCAACAAAAAACTTTAAAGATTACAATGATAAATAACTCCGAAACAAAACCAACGCGGCTCCCTACTGAACGGTTGAATGCAGCGCTAATTTGTTTATGCGATATAATTATCATCGTAATATTACTTTTTAAACACAGTTTCATTTTGTAGTTGTTTTCTATATAGTAGGTACTTTATTTGTTTTAGGATAGTATTTAGTTACACAATAATAACACTTTTTTGTTTTCATGTAGATTATTAATTTATAAGTATCTGTTTTCTATAAGTATAGTATTGTTTGTTTTAAAAATAGTATTTAGTTTATAATTATTTTTTTGTGGTACATAATACCTGTAGGTACCTAAATAGGTGTCGCCTACTTAATTATTCTTATTAGATTAGGGTTTAGTTTAACGTATTTAGTTTCTAATTTTTTTTTTGCTTTAGATAAAACCTGTAAATAGGTGTGGTCTACCTATTTATTCTTATTAGATTAGGTTTAAGTTTAAGCATAAAGTTAGTTTACATTATTATCATTTTACGGTTGTTCTTTTGACATAATCGTTAAAAATAAAAACGTTTCTTTTTTTAATACGAGGTACGCTTTAATTAAGTTTTCATTTTCTATGTTTTTTCTTCATCACTATAATGCAGAGAAAAAGAACTCAGCTTTCTCGGCAGACTGCTACTACAAAGCGGCCGCGATTTTTGCGGAGCAATGAAACTGAGGATGAAAATATGCACAGGTTGGCTACACAACGAGCAATGACTGAACAAAACCGTGCAAGGGAATCAAGCTTTGAACGTTCGCAGTTTATTCTCACAAAATTTCCGAACTTTGGCGAACCGGCAACGGGAATCGAATGCTGATCGTTCTCAAGATCGGGTTGTGGCGAAAATCAATATGTTCTTCTGCCACAAGATAATAAAACAAAAAATGTAGTATATGCAGAAGTTCTTTAAAATAATTAAATTTACTTTAAAAATGTACAGATATACTTTGGAACTCTAAAAAAAACATAGGTTTTGTCCTGAAAATTCTGCGGGAACTCGACTATTCCAAAAATCCCGCAAGAACGGGAACTTTGTGGGAAAAAACAAAAATCTGCCGGAAGTAACTATTCCACGCGGACGAAGTCGCGGGCAAAAGCTAGTCTTTTATACATTGCGACCATAACAACAGATTTCAATTTTTCGTCATAACCTAACGTATTATATACTTATAAATAATGTTATTATTCAATGGTTATTCGACTCAAGTCTCAAACACCATAAAAAAGCTGGTTGGTTGTTTTAAATATGGCCTACATCCGAACAAAGACGTGCACAGCATATGCTACTAACATAGATAATACACTATATTAGAATTGGCTACGAATGTCGTGTAGAATGGAAAAGACATGATCCGGGATTAAATTAAAAATGTCATTATAAAATTTAATAGCTTCTAAAACAACACAAATTCAATTTTATGCAAACAAAGGAGATATATTATATACTGAACAAAACATCTAAACTAATACAATTATTTTATAAAGGTTTTATAACAACTTAATTATATTGATTTTAAAATGATTATATATTAATCTTCTATCTTCTATATATATAAAAATGGATTGCTGTTCCTTAGTCTCGCTAAAACTCGAGAACGGCTGAACCGATTTGGCTAATTTTAGTCTTGAAATACTCCTGGAAGTCCAGGGAAAGTTTAAAAGGTGAGAAAAATTGGAATAATTGCCAGGAAAACCCTAAAAACAGCCCTTTTCTATTTCCCATACAAACGTTTTTTTTGACATTAGATTTGACAACTAACTAATATGTCAATTCTGTTTGATTGAAACAGAAAAAACCTGATTATTTATGGCCTGTAAGACGGAATAGAGTTTGACTGGTCAGCTATACCTACATAATATATTACTCTTGACCAAACTAACGCGGACGAAGTCGCGGGCAAAAACTAGTTGAATATAAAAAGGTAAACAGTAAACAGAGTGCTGTTAAATGTCAGAAATGACTGTTTAAATTTTAAAAGGTGAAAACACAAAACAAGATATATTTTATTGATCATTTTAATTGGAATAAATTAACAACTGTAGAAATATGTATTATATTTTTATTTACTCTTTTTTTCTGACTTGTCACAAAATGTGTGAAAATATTGAAGATCCCTTTTACATTTACACAATTAAAACGTATAGTTTCAACCATACAAAATACAAATATATGTGTATTTAAATTACTTTTCCTTTTACTGATTAAATTATAATCATCCATGAAACTGTAAAGATAATAGATAAAACCGCAGTTTAAAATTCGACGTCCGAGAGCACTAATCTTCTTATAATATCTCATTTTAAGGTTTAAGTTATATTTTTTTCTGGACGTTTATTGTCTATAAATACTGTTTGACATGTAGTAGATTGTCACGCTGACGTCATACGTCAAATGATGTACAAACGTACTTGCGTACAAAATAATTAAGATTTAGAAATCATATTTCTAGTCAATCACCAACAAATAATATTCCAAGGCGGCTTTATGTCTTGGAGGCTTAGATGATACAAAAAATGACGACTGCGCGTGTTAATGTTGTTTTGTGAGCGCAATGTCGATAGAGTACGTGGTGGTGAGCGAGGGCGAACAAGACGAGCCCATCGAACTGCCCACCGAGGAAGACGGTTCTCTACTTCTGAGCACAATATCTGCTCAATTTGTGGGCGCTAGCGGTCTGAAATATCGTGCTGGCGGTCGACTTCGTGGACTTCGTCTAACAGAGGATAGAGTTCTGCCGCCAGCTGAAGGCTGGGGAGCACATCGTTATTTCTGCGCCTTTCCACGTGTGGATATACCAACCGCTACCACGAGGCCACGTTGCTCTGACCTCATAGTACTTGGTCTTCCTTGGAAAACTGGTGAAGAAACAGTTCGAGAGTATTTTTCTACATTCGGTGATTTGTTAATGGTACAAGTTAAACGGGATACAAAGACGGGGTTATCTAAAGGGTTTGGTTTCATTAAGTTTGCTGAATATGACGCCCAGCTTCGTGCTCTCGGTAGACGGCATATGATCGATGGCCGCTGGTGTGACGTTCGTATTCCTAACAGTAAAGATGGCAGTTCTGCAGCGCATCGTAAAGTCTTTGTGGGTCGTTGCACCGAAAGCCTCACAGCTGATGACCTCCGTGAATACTTTGGTGCATTCGGCCAGGTGACAGACGTCTTTGTACCCAAACCATTTCGAGCATTCAGTTTTGTAACATTTCTAGATCCAGAGGTAGCTCAGTCCCTGTGTGGTCAGGACCATGTCATCAAGGGTGTGTCCGTCAACATTTCCACGGCCTCCCCTAAGAGAGAGCACAGCGGTCGCTCTCACTTGTTAGGCTGGAGCCTGCTGGAGGGTGCAGCGCCGCGTGTGTACAGCTGGCCTCCGGACGCCTGGCAGCACTCGGCACACTCTGCGCATTCACATTCTACGGCACCACCTGATGCTAAGCCCTACCTCAAATATGAGTGAAGACAGCCATTGCCCTCCTTGTTAATAACTCACAGATTTTATATGAAAGGAAATATGTAAATAATAATATATTATATAGACAGATTAACTTGTTGCTAATTTTTTTTCTGAAGCCTGCAAGCCTCGAGCCTCATCCTCCAGCTCACATAAATTTGTTCTCATTTTATGACTGACCCACTTAATTCATATTTATTGAGGGTTTTTTTAACTATGTTCAGTTTTAATTTTTCTTTCATACTATGTAAAGATTTCAAATACTTTTAATTCTTAACAATTCTCTAACCTTAAGACTAATATTATATCAGAAGATATATTTTTGTTGATTGATCACATCTTATTGTCAAGCACTTTTTATCTCTCTGGGGAAAGATTTGAGTTGCTGTATTTTCTAGTTGTAACCAAAACAGAGACAAAATTTTAAATCAAGTTTGTGTAGCTCATCACGAAACTAATGTTTATCTTCACATTAGAGGAATCCTAATTTCTAGTTTAATTTACATTTCTAATATACATCATAATAATAAAAAGGCAAGTCCATATAAAGTTGCTCAGCAACCAGTTAAAAAGGTTTGACCAAATGGACTCCCTAATTCTGCTAAAATTACTACAACATTATAACAATAATAAAAACTAAAAATTATATGTACGACTTGTAAGTCCCGCTATCCGTGCCGTAATTGTAATATACTCTTATCCTAAGAAGTATTTTTATGGCTGATTAGAATTTATTTTAATACTGTACTGTATAACCATTGTAATTTTGTAATGGCAACATTTAAATATCAACTTGTGTTTCAAAGCTCTATAAACTGACTTCAGACTTTGTAGGACGTAGCTGGAAGTAACTGTTTCTCGAACATTTTGTAAATTATTAGATATCTTAAGCAGTGTTGTCGAGTTGGCTGTCTGTCTGTCAGTGATAGCCATATTAAATAAAGATTAATATTTGGAAACATGCACCATGTTTAAATATATAAAAACGTATCAAAAGCAAGTAGTTTATTATAATATTTTGATTTCATTTATTTGTATTGATAAAATTTACGTTCTGGTTTTTGTTTCTCCTACAGGACTAAGCGTTTCTCTTTACTACTCGCCTAGTACTCCTCGGGGATACTAATCCTAGAGACTATAACAAAAGTATCTAGTTTCTAAATTTTATATTTTAATAACTAATTTGGGAAGATGAAGGAAGGAAAAAAATATTAATCGCTTTATTTAATACACTTATCTAATTAAAATGTTCTTGATGAATTTTGTCCATAAATTATCAATATTGGTAAAACTTGTTCTCGGACACTCCAGAATGTTCTCAGATTATAACTGGACTAGCGGAGGTATTTAGCAGCCCAGTCCACTCGAGACACACCACTACCCACCGTCGTCTCTGAATAAATCGGTCATTATATGTATTATAATTATTCACATCAATCTTAAAAGTATAGCCATGTGTAATAAAAAATACTTTAAAAGCTATTTAGGATATGTATATCTGTCTATATGGATTTTGTGCTCGACTACGATTATATTAACAATTTTAAAGGTTAAATGATGGAATACCTCGATGTGAATGCATGGCCAGGGGACGGAACAGAGAGGTATCTAGACGAGCGCCCGCCACATATCGGGAGGCTCCAAGGTATGCGGCTGCCGCCGAGGGCGCCGCGGGGGCGGCGGCAGCCAAGGGCCTCGGACCGGGGCCTCCCGCACCGCCCGGGCCGGGCGCCTGCAGCGTGGCCAGGACGCTGCGGCCGCGTGCTCGCATCCTACCACCGGAATGCACCACCTCCCCCCTGAACGTTCATGGCTATTGAGGATACAACTCGGCTTTATTCATTTCATCATGATCTTTTGCTCACCCCAATATATCGGCGAAACGGTCCTTCATCGCAGGAGGCGACTTCTGCTGCGGCTTCAAGGGTTCGGTCATGTCGGCGGGGGGAGGAAAGTTCTCGACCTCGACGCGAGTCCCGCTCCTTCAATTTTATTTTTCATATAAATTATAAACCAGAAAATATAAAACAATATTTTATAAAATAACAGACTTATTATTTAAAAATTACCTTCTGTGGCGTGATGTTGCAGGTGGTAAGACGAGACCGGCGCCGACGGCGAAATACGGAAACCTTATTCGATGTTATGAATATTAAGCTTTATTAAGTGACAATATCTCAACAGAGACTATTTCAGGAGCGACAGTACCTTAAGGCTTGCGGTGCGGTAGGTCTCTCCCTCGGCGGATATCTCAAACAGGCGGCGAGCAGAGACAAGGCCGGCGCCGATGCTGTCGGCACCACGCGTCCCAGAGGCACGCCTACACTCGCCGGGAAGCGGAATCGTAGCGCTTCAGCGAGAACGAAACCTTCCGGCCAGTCTTCTCGACTCGGGGTTCCCAAAACTGCACTTATTTTGTATAATTGATCAATTTCTGAATTTCCAGGAAACAATGGACGACATGTATAGAGTTCGGCCATGATACAACCGAGGGCCCAAAGATCGATGGGAGCTCCGTAGTGAGTGTCGTGAAGCAGGACCTCAGGAGCGCGATACCATCGAGTCGAGACATAGTCTGTGTAAGGCGGTCTAGACCGCACCTCGCGGGCGAGACCGAGATCCGCTATTTTTATCAGTTCTGGGCCCGCACACAATAGATTTTCTGGTTTAAGATCGCGATGGAAAAATCCGTGCCGATGCATGTGGGCCAGACCTTGCAGCACTTGGTATAATATATTCCGTAGAACGGTCTCGGGGAAAGGGCGCTCGGCGTCTCGAATTAGTTGATAAAGATTACCTCGCATGTATTCAAACACAAAATAGAGCGTATCATTTTCACGAATGACCTCACGAAGCTTCACGATGTTAGAATGGTTCAGTTTTTTCAAAGATTTCACTTCCCGGAGATTCATAGCCTCATCCCAAGAATAATATTTTCTTTTCATGCGTTTAATGGCAACTTTTTCTCCGGTGTCTCTTCGTTGCGCCAATGCGACGGAGCCATATGTGCCATCTCCAAGTTGTTGTAGCACCACATAGCGATTCATATTAATTGACACAATATTTATTATTACACCTAAAAATTCATACCAATATTTTAATTTTGAAACTTAAAATATTCAGCCAAAAAATAAGTTTTAAGTTGTTTACTTCGTAATAGAGAGAGGTGAAAGGAAATTAGTTATTTCATTATCTTTTTTAAATTCTATTATAATAATGTTTGAATTAGCAATATGGTAAAGTTTACTAATCACAGTACATAACTTTATATTTAATTTTTTTAAAACAGGTTGTTGTCTTGGTAACCAATAATAAAAATATACACCAATGTAGACTGTTGCAGACATTACGAAACAAAGACAACTTTTTTAATTCTACTCTTTTACTGCCTTTTCTTGTAATCTTTGGGCGAAAAAAGAAATAGAACGTGCATTATAGAACTAAAAATCTAAAACGGGGAATATTATTGTTGTCTACATTTGAAATAATATCTATCAGTAGTCTAAGGATGCATGTAATCATCAAAAATGCAGACAATATTTTTTATATAGTTTTAAAATATATCTATTAACTTCAATAAATTTAATTGACATATATCTTATTACAGTCTTCAAAATTATTATAGGTACCTACTTCAAAATATAAAAATATTTTGTGTTGTCATATTACATATTATAAGGTTTGACATCTTGAAGCAATACAAATTAACGTCAAGATATTTCCACCTTTTTGACATCCGTTTAAGCTACTTTCTTGACAACCATAAAAATAAATAACTATTGCACACAAATAGTAATTTCGTTTCTAATTAATCACATGTAAAGTGAAAATTCATTTATATAACCAATAGGTTTCGTTTTAAATGTAGTGTACTGAGCGAAGAAATCTAATAATCATCTTTTTATTTACGATTTTGATTTTTTTTGTCCGGTTTAATTGAAAGATTAATAATAATTCTAAGTAAAAGTAGCCTTAAAAAGTTAGCTGAAAGTGTTCAGCAATGTGTTATTTGAGATGAGTTCTGGACTGACTAGATGTCGAGTAAGTTCGGACCAACTTCACCTGTTGTTGTCGTTTATGGAAGAGCACCGTGATTTTGCAGCAGGGAAACAATCCATTTACTCGAGATTCAGTGCCTGCAAGCTCTGGCGCCTTCTAGCAGAGCGTCTAAACGGAGCCGCAGACGAGTCAGGGGGCGCACGCAAAACACCAGATAAGTGGTGTCGGGTTAGTTAGTACAAGACTTATATTAAAACGTAAAATTTAAATTGTAATAATAATAATGATTGAAAAATACCTATGATAATAATTAACACTTACTCAACTTAAATAACTATGAATTAAGAATGGTAATGAATTGCATTCTACTAGATTTGTGGCGCATAAAATCTGTCATGTCATTGACTATTTGTTTTATATAATGTAGAATTTTCTTTCTAGTTCTGGGCAGATTTAAAATATAAGGCTCGAAAGAAGTCTGCAGCCGGAGGAGCTCTCGGAGAACTGTCTGGTGTGGAGGAAAGACTGCAGAATTTACTTGGAGCTCGGACAAGTGATTGTATGTAATATGAGAAATACTACACAAAAATATACCTTTTAATCTGATTAACAAATCAACTATGAAATATGTAGAACTAAAGCTCACCTGCAACTAAACCTCCAGCTAGCTGGTTAGTCATAAATCAAAATTTCTTAATAATTAGAAATCAGTAGTCATTTCAGTTAGTATTCTAAAAAAATTACATCAATCTTTTAAGATATTAAAATATGAGACACAAGGAAGGGTTGGTACTTGTACAATAAAGTATATTTAGAAAAGTTTATAATTAATGATTTAATTAAGCACATGTTGTGTTAAAAGGTTTACAATATTTACACATCATTTATATATAATGTATGCAAAACATATATTTACTATCGGTTGCCTATTTATTATACAATTTGAATCATCAGCAAGCGGCGGTGGTTGTCGACGAGGCGGGAGTCACTCTGACGAGGAACACAAGCCCGCACTCGACGAGGATATGTACTCCGAGGGCTCTGGAGTCGGAGGAGGGGATGCTCCGCGGCTTGCTACGGAGGAACTGTTGGCGGAGGCCGCCATGCGCAGCGCGCTCGCTGCAGAGAAGCAGGCGGAGGCCGTCACACAGGCCGTGGAGCTGCTGCGGGACCTCGTGACCTTACTGAGGGACCGACCGCCCGCCCTGCCACAACACACCCTGCCGCCACACGCAGCCCCTCACGCACCACCGCCCGACCACACACTCTCAATGCAGCATCATCATCATAGACTGTGACCCCATTCTCGTTTCATTCTTTCAATCTATATTCAAATAAACTATCTAAACTACGCAGATTTTCATTTTTGTCCCAGACTGGAGTAACCGCGTTTGCTTCGTCTCGAAATGTGGCCTAAATCTACATAGGATATTTAAAGTAGGATGACGGTTCATGCGCCTTGTTTGACTGCTCTCTTTGGTTTAGATCCTAAAGGGATTGCCTGATTTGAAACTTTCAGGTCGTAGGAAGTTTCGAGTGCGGCGTTGGCGAGACCAAGCCGTTCCGCGACGTCTCCGTAGACCACGTCAGCCCGGCGGCGGGCGCGCGCGGCCCCGTGTCGCAGTACGTCCCGCAGCAGGCCCGGCCGCGCCAGGAGCTCGTTGGCTCGTTCACGGATCGGCCGGACCGCTGCCACGAGTGCGTCTGCCACTACTTGCTTGTACCGCGCCGTAGTTAATCCCTCTGCCTCCAGAACGACCTCTTCTGGGAGTTTGTCGGCTGCCAGACAGTGGAGTGTCACAAGATTGGACACGCCCGGACGGCTGTCGGGTTCGAAGGTCACCTGAAGAAATTTAATTTGTTAAGATGAAAATTGTTATCAATTATTTAATTATTGTATTAAAAGACAAAGCAAACTGTCTCCGCACTTGTGGGTTGAAATCGGTAACGGCTTTTCTTAATTTCAATCTGATGGCATCATCTGAATCACTTAGAAGTATCCTTGATTTGGGATCAGTGTCGGATTTAGACATCTTTTTTGTGGGATCACGAAGACTTCGTAGTCGATCGCTTCCATCATCTATAAAAAGTAGTCACCAATGAAAGCAGCCGTTAAATTGATAAATACAGATTTATTAGAGAGCTTGGTACCTGGTAGGATAGGGGAGGGCGTAGGAAATAGCCGTCCATATCGGTGGTGAAAAGTGCGCACAAGTTGAGCCGCAACCTGCAGGTGCTGCAGTTGGTCCGCACCCACTGGCACATGCGTACCGCGATAAACTAACACGTCCGCGGCCTGTGACACAGTAATATAATGTTAGGGAAACCTCATTTATAGAGCTCCTGTTTTAGTGGTTGTAATCACCTGAAGTACTGGATACAGAAGAAGTCCTATTGGGACCTCCTTCATAGTAGCCGATTTCTCTTTAAATTGTGGCAGATGTGCAAGGCGTGCATGGGTCGCGAGGCAGGCTAGCAGCCAGCAAAGTTCAGCATGGCGAGGCACAGAGGACTGTGCAAATAATATGCTTCGTTCGGGGTCAATCCCACTAGCGAGCAAGTATGCTGTCAATTCCCATATATTTTTCTGAATTTGTGTTGCATTCTAAAAACATGTCAATTATTTTACAAACTGTCATTTAAGCAATAGTTACTTGTATAAACATAACACACTTGTTGTGTAGTGTGGGCATGGAGATCTGCGATAAATATCATAAGATCATCGCCCTGCTGCTGGAGCTTCACACAACGCTGCACAGCCGAGAAGTAGTTGCCCACATGCAGCGCCCCCGTGGGCTGTAACCCAGTTACAACCCTTCGGCTCCAAGTCTCACTCGTTCCTGCTGTAGTTGAATTTTTGATGCTGGTTTCCTATCATGATAAAATAGATAATTTTACCTTATTATATCGGTGATTTGTATTCGTGATAATTATTTTAATATAGTTATACCTTCGCTTTATAACCCTGTAACGATATGCTCCGGATATTAACTTTACATAAGTGTTTTGAATACACTAGCCTTCTTGATGTTAACGCCATTATATTTAAAATAGATGTTATTTAATAATAACGTATGGTTATATTTCAATCATGTTATAAAATTGAAACTTATTATACAGTATTAGTTATTGTTACATTTGTCATTTGATAGTTGATACTTCATAAATGTATGACAGTGACAGTTGAGGTTTTCAATTAAATTATTGGCTAAGATAGCTGTTTACATAAAAAAGTTCATAAAATTTAACAAAACTTATCAAAAAAATCGTTTAAAAAATAAATAAAATTAATTATTTAAAAGAAAAACCAGAAATGTCAATTAAACGGTAGGACGGTTAGGTTACAACGGTTAGGACATAAACTGTCCAGAATCTTTAATCTTTATTCTAAAAGAATTGTCACTTGTCAATGTTTGACATACGAAATGTTATAATGACGAAATAGGTAGTTGTGTCTATCTGAAATTTAAAATTAGTTAATAATTTTAGTTAAAAGAAAATATTCATATTTGGTTTATTAATATATTTAATCAAGTCTCGTTTTCTGTCTTTACCAAAATAATGACTTGGTTTTTTAATTACAAGCCTAAATAACAACAGGTATATATAGGTATATTTTTTTAATTTATTTATTATATAAATATCCCAAATTTTGGATACATGTTTAAAGACTGTGGTTATTTTTTTAAAATATATCCTAATCGAATTATTCAACAAAAAGAATTTGAAATTACAACCCAATATGTTGGTCTTCCTAAATGATAATGTTTATATTAAAAACACATTGTCATCAGCCTATCAGCGCCCACTACTGAGTAAGGCCTCTTTCTCACATGGAGAAGGTTTGAGCATTAATCACCACGCTTCCTCAAGACGGGTTGGTGATTTCAAACTTATAATTGTGAAACTATAAGTCCAGGTTTCCTCACGATGTTTTCCTTCACCGTATGTCAGTGATGTCTAAATACTCTATGTACTCTACATATGACTTCGAAAAATCACATTGGTACTTGCCAGGTTTGAACCCGCACCCTCGGTAACGAGAGGCGGGCCCCTTAACCACTAGACCACCACTGACCATAAAAAACACATTACATTAATATTTTAATTTTGACAAGTTCAAGTTATAGCTATAAGTTATGTAGGGTTCAATGTGAAAGAATAAGTTAAGGATACAAATTTATATAGATGAATACCACAACCTGATACTTTAATATGCATCTCTAATAGCTGACTTTATATGTAATGTTCCACAATATGTTATATAAACAGGTGTGGTTGAGTCCTTGACAATTAGTTTACATGTGTATAGTTCAATATTAAGGGTACCAACTGATATGCAGTCAAAAGTTACTAAATAGTCTTATATCACATATATTATAACCTTTCAGCGAGCCAGTTATGAAAAGTCAAAATTAAAATATATAAATGTTTACTCTTTGATTCAATTAAATAACATTGAGATAAATAAAGGTTTAAAATAAAAGGTTTTATAAAATATCTGTAGCCAGCCTGCTTTTAAGAAAAAAACTTCACAGAAGTTATCTTTTATCACAAATTTCAACACATCACCATCTCCACTATTTCAGAGAGAACATTAAGAATTTGAGGAAAAAAATGAATGTCGCCAGAGGAGCAGTGAGCGCAGGTCGCATGCGAGCCTGGCGCGTGCACGCGTACGGCGCCGGGACCGAGGAGCTGCGGCTGGAGAGCGCGCGCGTGCCGCCGCTCAGGGCGCCCGACCAGCTGCTGGTGCGCGTGCGCACCGCCTCCATCAACCCGCTGGACGTGGCCATGCTCGGTAACACCACACACCACCTGCACACACGATGCGTCCTCTGGAGTCCGGCCTCACTGTATACATTTAAACACATGTCCGCAGGCGGGTACGGCTCTCGGATACTGAACACGCTGCGGACGCTGGACGGCACCGAGCTCGAGTTCCCCCTGGTCCCGGGCAGGGACTTCGCGGGCGAGGTGGTAGCGGCCGGCGCGGGCTGCAGGCGGCGCGTGGGCGAGCGCGTGTGGGGCGTGGTCCCGCCGCACCGGCCCGGCTCGCACGCCGACTACGTGACGGTCCGCGAGCGCTGGACGGGTCTGGCTCCACTCGCTCTGTCCGACGAGGAAGCGGGCGGCGCGCTGTACGCGGCGCTGAGCGCGTGTGCGGCGCTGCGGGCGGGCGGCCTGCCCCCGGGGAGACGCGCCCGCCGGCCGCCGCGCGTGCTGCTCCTGGGACTGGGCGGGGTCGGACACGCGGCCCTGCAGCTGCTCGTGGACGCCGGCGCCGAGGTGAGCCATCTCCGGTCTAGCGTCCACGTTTAATCCGTTCCGGGAGCATATACAGGGTGTTCTAAAAACTGTGTAAACCCTCTTAACTGTGTTATCAGTATCGAAAATGGAACACAAACAAACAACTTACATTTACAAACTCTTCAATAAAAATAATAAAAATTAAATATTATATGATTATTATATGTAGAGTAACCAAATGTTTGTACCCACTGGTATAACACGATGAGACTCAATGGCGTCATCACACCTGCTGAGCGAGTAGTGACGAACTCGAAGTTACTTTCACATGATTGAAAATATCGATATTTAAAAAACCATAACAATAAATAAATATTTAATATTCATATTATTTCGATACTTATTTTGATATATCAAACATTAGTATTATTTTTGATTGTAAAACACCATTTTTAACAGAAATAGATTAACGATTTATCCTTATAATACAACATAGTTAATTTACCTGAAGAAGTTCCAAATTATAATATTGATTAATAATATTTATTATTTATAAAAGTTATTTTAAATGATATTATTTTAATGTGAAAAGCATAACTATTTATAGCAATATTGAAAATATCGATAGAATATTTATCGATATACCTAATTTTTAAACTTGCAAATCTCTATTCGAAAAACTAACAAAATAGTAATAATAACGCCGGCGGCCGGCGCCTGCGTCAATGGTCACGCATGCGCCGTCGCTACTATACGGTGCCTTGACCTTGTATGGTCAGATGTTTGAAACATTTTTTCAAATAATGTCGATTTAAAACTTATTTAGCCTATGCACTGTAACTGAAGAAGAAGAAGAGAGCGTACCTATTTACCTATTTTTGAAAGGCCGGCAACGCACTCGGGCGCCTTCTGGCTCCTCGAGTGTTTATGGGCGGCGATGACTATCTCTCACCAGATGGCTCGCCCGCTCGTTTGCCCCCTATGATATAAAAAAAAAAAAAATAACTGACCTCTGCTTGATATTTTTTAAGTTATACTTTTTTTTATAATAAGCTTATACTTATATGTATACATGCCTTCAAGGGTTTACACAGTTTTAGAACACCTTGATAATTGTTAGAATTAATATCAAAATAATATATATTTATAATCTATCAACATCTATGTTTGGGTAAAGATGTATGAAAATGGCTGTATTTTCTTAGATCAAGAAAAATTTGTAGATCATATATTAAGTAAGTTTAATATGACAAATTGTAAAGTTGTTGATACTCCCATTGAATGTAGTCTAAAATTTAAAAAAAGTGTAGAAATTTGTAAACAATATCCATATCAACAACTAATAGGCAGCCTAATGTACTTAAGTGTTTTAACTCGTCCAGACATTTCCTACAGTGTGAGGTATTTGAGCCAATTCAATAATTGTTATTCCTATACACATTGAAAGCATGCAAAACATATCCTAAGGTATTTATGTAAAACTAAATCATATGGGCTTATGTTTAGCAAAGATAATTGTAGATTGGAAGGTTTTGTTGATGCAGATTGGGCCTCAAATACTCTAGATAGGAAATCCTATACAGGTTACTTCTTTAAATTCTCTGGAACTGTTATCTCATATGAATGTAAAAAACAATGAACTGTAGCCTTGTCAAGTACAGAGGCAGAATATATGGCGATAGCTGAAGCCTGTAAAGAGGCGATTTATTTAAGAAACTTGTTTTCCGAAATTGTAAATGGTTTTGATTATGTCATCACATTATATAATGATAACCAGGGTACTCAGAAGTTGACTGAGAACCCATTGTATCACAAAAGAACCTAGCACATAGATGTGCGGCAACATTTTGTTAGAGAAGCAGTTGCTCCTAATCTCACTAAGATAGTTTACATTCCAATAAATGAAATGCCAGCAGACCTTCTAACAAAGGGATTAAATAGAGTAAAACATAACTATTTTATAAAGAAACTAGGTATGCAAGGCATTGTTTAATAACAGACTATGTAATAAATAAAAGATGTTTTGTTTTTTGTTTGTTTAATAAGTTTTGTGTACAATGTTTAGATTATTTTGATAAGTGGAAATGTTAGAATTAATATCAAAATAACACATATACAGGGTGACTGGTGAATTACTATCAATATTTAAGGAGCATACTCGGTACATGATTCTCATTCGAATTATGTAAAAAAAATAGGTACTTAATTTTTGACCAAATTTCCGTATAAATAAATAAAGTGTGGACACGTTCCAAGTGTTCCAAGTGTGGACGCGTACGGCGGCGTGCTAATACAACACTACGCCGCACGTGTGTGTGTGTATACCTAATCTGTAGGGTGTTCACACGATGCGTAATTAATTACGTAACTTTTGGTTACCTTTACTTAGAAGTTAATTAATATTTATGTTATATTAATTTTTAGTTTGTCATATATGATCGTCAAATATCACGTCCTCAAGTATCGATAGTAATTCACCAGTCACCCTGTATATTTATAATCTGTCAACATCTATGATGGCTTATGTGAATGTGGATTATCTGTAATTAAAATTTTAGTCGTTCAACCGCCATTACAATTACAAGGAGTATTTCATTAATAATGTCAATGTATCGGCCCCGCGCCAGGTGATCGTCGGCTGCTCCGCGGACCTGTGTGAGCGCGCGACCTCGCTTGGTGCGGCGGCGGCGCTCGACCGCTCCTCGGCCGACTACGACCGCCTGCTCGAAGAGTCCGGCCCGTGAGTCACCGACCTCCTACTGTACCCTCGTGTCGGGCGCCACAATGAGGGAATCGTTTGTGAGCGCAGGTACGAGGTGATCGTGGACTGCGCGGGCGTGGGCGGTTCGGAGGCCGGCACGCGGCGCTGGCGTTTCTCCCGGTTCGTAACGCTGAGCTCGCCGCTGCTCCGGCTCACGGACGCGCGCGGGCTGCTGGGCGGCGGCTGCGCGGCGGCGGCCCGGCTGCTGGCGGACGGCCTGTCCGCCGCGCGCACCGCGCCCGCGCCCTCCGCCTGCCCGCCGCACGTCCGCTGGGCCTTCTTCACTCCCTCCGCGGACGACATCGACATGCTCCACCGGCTCGCGGAGAGAGGCAGGGTGGGCGCCTGTTACAAGTCTTTGTATTGTATTATATCTGTGTGTGTGTGAGTGTGTGTCGTATTCGCAGCTGTCGGTGTGTGTGGAGCGCGTGTTTCCCTGGTGGGAGGGCGTGGCGGCCTACGAGCGCGCGGCTCGCGGCGGGGCGCGGGGGAAGCTCGTGCTGGACTTCACCGCCGAGCGGACAGTGTCGTCGTGTTAGACTGATGTTGTTAAAGTGAAACCCTTCCTAAACCGACTGTTATCGGAGGACTCTTATGATATAAACTTAATAAATATTTTATCATTTTTTTTGTCTTTAGTAAATGTACATACATGACACAAGACGTCGCATGCTGTGAGCGCTAGTTCTGTCCTTTTCACATTACTATTTTTAAGAATAAATAATGTACATAGGTTCAAAAATCCAATTTCTGGTGTTTTTGCCTCTATTTACATTATTTGCTTAGCACAACTTAAAAAAATTAATACAAATACAATAATTTTATTATACCATTTTTATTTACTTCAAATCTCATTGAGTTTAATACAAGTAATGTTTCATCCCACAGTTTGAAATGTAGAGAATTTGTTTTCAATGCAATCCTATATAATTTAGCATCTTCCTGATAACTATGACCACTGAACGAGTCAAAGAATTTATCTAAAAGAAGCAGTAGGTCAGCCGTGGCGACACGCTCTTTTGGCAAAATATTATGATCTGGAAATAAAAAATATATTAAAATTATTTTTATACATAGGCCTTATTATTAGATAGATAGATAAACTTCTTTCTAAATTTCTAAATCTGTGGTTTAAATTTATATTGTATTTAAAATGCCTTATACTGTTTTATAATTTAAAAGTAAATATAGCATTCATAGTTAATTTTAAGCTTGGTTATATGCCCATAACTTACCTTTAGGAAATAATTGAGAGGAATTAGGAGAACTCCTTTGTAGCTGAACTTGATTCATATATAAATCCGAGTTGTGACTACAAGATGTGTCATTGTCTTCTTTTTGTGTATCAACACATTTTTCAATTTCAACAGAATGTGATGAGTGTACAGTTTCAAATGTTGATGCTTCTAAATGAAATATATTTTTTAATACAAATAAATATATTAAAAGAACAGTTAAATGAAAAGTTGAATGATAATATATTGTCTTGATTGTATTTTCCTTCCTTCTTTCTTTTAGAGTTTCTGATTGAATGTAAGTAGACTTGTAATTTTTACTGAATTAAACACTGCCATTCTTATATTACATAAAAAACTATAAACAACTTTTTTTGGTTTGTAGTTATCCCATGAAATTATAATCTCTGCATATTTAGAACACTTTGTTTTTGTTTTACCTATGTAAAGAAGTGACATAAGTAGTTATTTTGCGACACTGTTTGTAGGCACTTTCCTTTATTTAGATAAAAAAGGTAATAAAGACCGCACATTATAAATCCATCAAACCACATGTAAGTATATAAAAATGTTAAGATGACTTGTATACCTATGTCATTATATTCAATTAAATCTATTTTTTTTTGTTTTTAATTTTTAATTATGAGTACCAATTTCTAAAGTAAAATAATAATAATGTAAAATATTATTCATAGTTATAAAATACAACTGATTATTTAAAGTTATTTATATTAGTAGTATGTATTGTGTGCCTATAACTACTTGGGAAGTTGCTTACTTTAGATACTTACTTAAGGTTAGAGTTGGTACAACATTTTGAGTGAGTCATTTACTTGAAGAACGGTGAAACTGTTCAAAATGACAATCACATATTCTTATATCAGCGACATCTAGCGTACACGGTTTATAGTAGTTTTCTAAACTGAAACCCAGAGTGGCGCATCTATTTCTAATATGTATAGTGTATTATCTATGCGTATGTATGAAATAGAAAACATTTTTTTTGATAAGTACATAAAATTTTCATAAATGGCTGTTTTGTTCGTAGTTATCATTAAAACCGTATTTTAATTGATATTTCGAGTTAAATGGTAGTAAGCCAGGCGTCAGTGTCCTGTGACGTCATTGAGGAGTGCGGGACTGCGCTTCTAAACGTATAAAGAGTTCGTAGTACTGACAATATGGATTACAAATATATACTGATGAAATGATAAAATTAAGTGTGGGAGGTCCCCTCGATCGGTTGGTAGTTTAGGATGCGGGATATTATTCCCTGGGTCTGGATCCCAACTCTCCGGCGCCCGTCGAGCACACAATCTTTCCCCTGGTCCCTGGTTTCCTTGTGGTGTCTCCAGCCGACCCCTGCTGGAGTATCTACGTCATATTTCACTCACGACCAGAATACGACTTCACTGACATCCGAGTTATCACTTGAGAAAATATGAAAATGTTTTCGTCATTTGTAACAAAATAACAAATAAATTAAAAAAACTAGATTATTTTATTATCTGAATGTGCATATAAAATAATTTTAAATCGCTTACATTTTGTACATTTTGTAAAGTCATTATGATTTGCACTAAAAGGAAGCGACGGATTCACAAAGAATAAGTAGTTTGAGGAGACTAAGACCTGAGTTAGTGTTTGATGTTTCTGAAAGGTTTGTGATTATAAATGCGTAGTTTCTTGTTTAAAGATCACTCGATGGCACTAATATCTTAAATAAATAATTTACGATATTTAATAATAATTCATTGTCCTATTGTAATTCGCATCTATTTGTTGTATTAGGTATCGGGCTGCTCGGCGATCGTCGTCAGCATATTTACTATTGTCATTGCTTTATAATAATAGACAATAACGTGAAATTTTATTTGAAAGAATTTTATTTGGTTATAATAAGTTAACTCCAACAATTACAATCGATTGATGACATTCGATTTTAAAATATATCGTCGGGGTATTTTCTGAGCGCAAATTAATGCGAAAGGATTTTTACATATTGAAGGTAAAAATGACAAGAATCTTGTCAGAAATTTCTAGATTTATGTAAACATATATTATGTATATTTATAAGTATCGTGGCGGTTACTGTATAATTACACATTAAAGGCGGAGGATTATTGAGAAGATTCTTAATGTTGGATCGGAGTTTCATCATTATATTTATATTGCATGCAATTAATTATCTTTTCTTGATTGTAATTGTATTTCTTAAGGTCGTTTAAAAAATTATTAACAGTTTATATTATTACACACTTAATATCCTCTTTATTATAAAATACATCTGCACTTAATATTATTAAGTTTGTTTGTTTGTTTATTTGAATACATTGATATCAGGAAATGTCCATTTTAAAAAATTAAAGTAAATTTATTACGGGTTGTTACAATTTTGAATACTAATAACAGAGTTCTAAGTTAAGAATTATTATTTAATAGCAAAGCGTTTTTATAACAAAGATTATGTTAAATAGACACACAAAATTAAAATTAGATATTTTTAGGTACAAAATATAATTGAAGTATAGTACCTATATACATAATATACCTCACTCGTCTGTATAAAATTAATTTATTTCACTTGAAATAATGTACTGAGAGTCAACCAATACCTACGTTCAACATAAACGCGACGGAAGTCGCAGACAACGGCTCGTTTGTATTAAGTATAACTAAATTGACAAGCAAAAAATACATTAAGCACAAGAAATGACTTGAATAATGTAGCAGTGTTTTATAAGGTTTGTATATTTCCATTACCACCTTTGCTATGTTACAAGTCTATGTTTGCATAATATGTATTAATGTACCTAATAAGAACATGATCTCCAACAACCCCTCACACTGGGACGTCACTTAGGTACAGGTTACATTCAAATAGACGAGTTGTGTAAAAGTTAAATTAATGTCATTAACAGTAATGATGATGACGTTTAATGTTACACCATGACATGACCAAAAATCAATCAAAATCATCAATTATTGCAAGAACTACTTTAACTCTACTTCCTACCTAAGTATTTAATAATTTAATGTCCTCCAATTAAGTCTATGTGTCTTTGTCAACAGTTTTGGAAAAAGAGAAAACTAAGCCTATATGGATTCCTTCTTTGACGGTTGAATTACGGCATATTAAATGTGCCCGGTGGAAAAGAAGCAGTCTGCATTGTGATTCCACTTGTTCGATTTTTAATATTATACCTCTACAGTAAGTTTACATGAAATAAATAACACAATAAAATATTTGTAAGCTTAAAAATTAATTGGTAAATATGAAAAAGAATAAGTATTATTTTTATTTGTAGTTTAGATAGGTTGAGGAATATTCCTTTTATAACGTTACCTTCTTAGGATGTTTAACTCATCTGCCCGTGATCACAGTTTTTGCAAAAATAAGCGAAACATCAGAAGTGCCTATGTAGTTTTTAAAAGTAATAAAATACGCGTAGTAATCCGAAAATATGTATTAATTTTATTTAAATGTTTTACTCTTAATATCCAGCAATTTAAATCGGTAAACTTAAAATCATATTTAATGTTGTAACTTTTCACAAAAAAATAAGACGACAGGCGAAACTTCTCAACAGACTTGCGACCCAGGTGTAAGCTTAAAGTGCCCCTATCTAACGCGCGTTAAACGCTCACCTCCACCGTTCAAGCTCCTCTCTCTTCCTATTACCAAATTTGAAACGAATCTACTAAGGCTGCCTCCGAAGTACGTTCTAAGAATAATGTTAGTTTTGGACAGGCCCAAGTCTTGGAGTTGGTTGTAGAGAGAATTAGCTGTTATATTTTTCACTCCCACTTCTACCGCATACAAGTTTACGACGAACCTATTTCTATGGAGTTCGTTATTGAGCTCGTAATACTTATTGAGCTTGGTGACATGGTCTTTGAAGATAATGGTTACCCAAGAAACCATAAGCTATTATCATAAAGGAATATGTCTAGCGTGGACGCTGACCGACAAATATCCTCTAGGATTTTATATTATTTCTCTTCGAATTCGCTTATTATAATGAGTAAAAATTATTTAATAAAACCTTCGTCCCGTATTGAAATGTTATGGAAACCAGAACATAATAGAGTTAGTACTGTACTGTGTGTATCACACAATGTTTCGTTAACTAAGACATAAATAATATCTACTGAAAAATTTCTTTATTTATTTCTTTATTTTTAGAAGTTTAGTTCCTTTGTAAGTTTTTCCTTATTTCGTTAATTATTCACAGCTTCTGACTTTTTAATTTGTTCTTTATGAAATTTCCTGTTTCATTTAAATTTTAAAGTATCTTTTTTAAGTGTTTGTATCTCAAAGTTTAATTTTACACAAGTCGCTAATAAATCTTATAAACTTTAATTTAAAATACTTTTATTGCATCATTTACATAGAAGAACCAAAAAAAGAAAAAAACAAGATAATAATAAAGAAAATGAATTAGCGGAAACACAATTAGTTGGAGAATGAATCAGAAGATAAGTATAGTAAGGCACGGCGAACGATACGGAAAAAATATAGTTCTTGATTATTTTGTTTGAGATAAGTTCTTAAAATGCTAAAGACTTCTTGAATGGAAAAACTACAAAAAAAATCCATGACCCCATCAATACACCGTTCACACAACATGCATACGTTATCGCTACATAACAATGATAGCTAAACGATCAATAGACTTTAAAACTTTCCACCTTCACAAGGTACGCCGACAGTGGATGCTGTAATTATTTATTTATATAATATGTTATAAGAACGATCAATGTCAAGGACGGCGTGCTCGCTCCGTGCCGGCGGCGTGTCCGGTGTCGGCTATCGATCTGACACAAGTCACAGGCGAGCACGGAGCACGGCCGCGGCTCGTTTCACGTGTCTCTTACTATGTTGTACCGACCAACTATTAACTAAGGGCTACTCCATAGACGCTCCTTCTCCTGTGACCTCCTCGCCCCGCCGGGAAGGAGTGAGGACGAGACGGGCGAGGTCCGAGCGCTGTCTGCCGAGTGTTGACTGCTGACGACACTCGACACGACACGACGGCGAGGCGCGGGCCGCGGCGTGCACGGCGCGAGGCGGCGGCGGCGCGGGGCGAGAGGGCGAGGGGGTCGCGGCCCCGCCATTGGCCGCGTGCACGTGGCCTGATCTCGCACCATGGCAACGTGCCTCCCCCCGGGACCCGCACACCCCTCGCTTCATATTCGCCGAGGAGTCGTCTCCTGACTCACAGTCGCGCTGTACTCTCGCGCCGCCCGGACGTGTGATTCCGTTTCTGCCGTTTCGTTATAGAGATCGAGGCGCGAGGGCCGGTCGATACACAGGAATCCTTACAGCGCATACGATACGACAGCCAGAGACATCATTCATAGTGTGAACACTGTATAGTGACATCCCTCCACGGCTCATATGAACGAACACAAACAATCCCCTCTGGATTGAAGACCTGACTGCGGAAGCTTCGCCGTTTTTTGTTCTTTAGTAAGTGCAGCCTTCGATAATGAGAGTGACCCTCGAAAGTACGTTAGATATTTAGGCTATTTTGTATATTTATTATGGAGCTTCTCGTTTTAAGATTCTGTGATAATAATACTAAGATACTATACATAATAATTTACAATAAACAATAAATCTATGATAATATAGGAAGCGTTGTTACGCATTAGAGACAATTGTATTATATTGTTTCTTCTCTGTGTACATTGTCGATCATCAGTGACTCCTTCAACTATAGATCTGAACATAGTCATAGAACTGTTTCAAGAAGTACTTGAATATCAAAAAAATATTTTCTTTATTGTTATTTTCGTTTTATTTTCAATTGTCTTAGTAAATGAGATTCTATATTCTGTCGTTGCGATTTAATTTTTTTAAATATTAACTTTCCGATTCGGCTGTCGATTACTAACAGTAAATTATTTAAAAAATTATTATAATATTATATTCAAATACGAAAAGAAACTTTCGGTTCTTGTACAACAATAGAAGTCATCACGTTCTTAATAGAACTTCAAACGAAACTTTTGTGCGAAACGAAGACAACTTACGCACAGGCTTTAAAAGAATATTATTATTGATAACTGGTCTCTATAACAATTATAATAATATCGGTGAGCATTATAACGACAGAGCATAGCTTTGTATTAGGACGATAATGTTACAATTTGTCAATCAAATAAACTGCGAATTATTTTTAAATAAGTACGTCACTATTGTGTTGATATCACGTCATTGCGAAGTTTGTAAAAACGTTTGTAATTAATATTTGTATAGTTCGTATAAGAAACGCAAACTACCGTGTTCGTTGGTCAGTAATATAAGGCAGGCGGCCGCGGGCACGGGGCAGGGAACGATCACACGACGTGACGTCACCGACCAGCTGACTACAGGCACACTCGTCCTTATATGTTATATGTATTGGGCAGATATAACTTATGACTAGCGGATAGTTTGACAATAACATAACAATAGCGCTCCTTTGGAGAGTAAGCGACCAGTACACTGGAAGGATTTGAAGTTTTATTTTAAGAGTCCGGAAAACACACATTGCCGAGAGCTTTAACCAGAACTTAGCGTTGTTTTGTTTTTAAAGTAAATTAATTATAATTGCAAATTATTCTAAACAACAATAAAAAAAAAATGGGACGAGACTTGAATATATTTTGTTGTCAACTTTTTGAATCATTCGATAAATTACGAGAACTTTTTTGTTCTAACTTTCGATGTTAACTGATGGTAGTATCCCATTTGATATTAAATATCTAAATCAAATATTAAAGTGAACCTGAGTTAACTAAACCCATAAACACTCCCTCATCAACATTGGTTCACACTCCGCCTCGTGACACTAGTGTCATCTCAGTGAGAGGTGAGAGCCTCTCCTCCAGAGCCCACCCCGGACGGTCCACGTAGAGCTTGATGAACACTTGATGATTCAGATATCATATTATAATGTATCTGTTCCGCGAGTCGCCTCAACGTCGGCTACCATCATAACTCAAAACAAACTGTGCGTTTGTGATTATTTAAGAATATTATTGGAAATGATATCATGAATACAAAAACATCAACAGTTTCGAAGTGTCGAAGCTGGTCGCTCTGAGAGTGGTGCTCGTCGTGTTTACATTCGTACAGCAGACACAGCCGCGCCGCCGCCCGGGTGAGCTCCTCTTGTATTGTAACCTCCGCTCAAGTAAACACTCAGTGTGTGTCAATAGTTTTATTTATATGTATATTTATCAGATAACATGATTATCCATTTCATGTCCGGGTCTCGTTTAATAATAATAACACAACACTTTGGTTCGCTTTATTTATTCATAAATGAGTTTACGGTGTTACATAATGTAATAAAAAACTCGCATAATAAACCTTTTAAATTAAATACAAATAAATCGCACAAGTGAAGATTAACAACTAATATTGACTTTCATAAATTTGAAATAAAATTATATAAATTATTACATTATTCTTGATGAGTTGTTTGAATGTGAACCGCCTTCACAGTCCTTGTACACGTTCGTCGGTTCTCTCTTGGGAGGTGTGGAGCCGTGGCCCGTGTCACATCAGGCTGGAGGTTGGTCCATGTTGGATGTGTTTATAATGAGTCCGTGTGTGTGAGCACGAGGCGAGGCGGTGCACACTAGTGTCAACAAATTAACACTCTGCTATGACATTATTGTACTTCGTTCAAAAATAAACAATCACTATTTTGTAGATTGGTATCTCCGCTTACAATTCTTTTATAACTGCGTCTGTTTTTTAATGTCGTCCACAAAAACGATGTTCTTACGATATTTAAATAAAGTAAATTTATACTTTTATGTATTTACATGATGAGCATACGTTCAAAATAAACAAAAAACTCTAATTACTTGCTTTTAATACGTTTTTTATATATACATTTTTTAGAGCGTCGCATAATTTTTCTGTTAGTGATGTACTTCCTACTGTCTAATAAGTTATACTTATTTCGTATAATAATTATTTAAGTTTTTATCGTAATGAATATTGTTTAAAGATTACATCTCTTAAAAATTATTTAATCTCCTTTTCTTTTACGTTAAGTTACTAAGAGTTAAGATGTATCTAAAGATCCTTGCGAGGGTGGGGTTGGGGCTGTTGCTTAAAGAAATCGAATAAATAGTAACTAGCTCATAATCATATGTAAAACATAATCTAACAATGATGGTATACAAAAACAAATAAAGCGGTGTTCGCCTGTTACTGGTTTGAGTTACAACAATAAACAATTACAACATGAAAAGAACTTCACTGATGATAAGACAAATTATTTTGAAGGATTACCTCAGTTCCTGGACAACTATGTATTGATGTAGTAGTTTCGTTACTTCATTGTCAATAATTTTGTCAATTAAACATCGATGTATGATATATGGACTGAAAAATTCATTGAATGATGATGAATTTGAAATTCAATCTCTTTAAGAAGTTTCAGAAGTAAATATCTAATATATTTTTAAAATAAAAACTTCTGTGAAATACAACACGGTACTAATGAAACCTTACTGTAGTAAAAATAATGAATAACAAGTATGTATATTTGTTTTTGTGTCATTCGTAACTGTTTAAATACACACTCGAGCCCCACACGTACGTACATTCATCATCTCTAGAGTATTTGTTTGATCACTTCATAGTTTTCTGGGTACTAATTAGCGGATACCACGATTAGATAAACCTAACACGATATCCGATGACGCGTTTATTTTTTATAATAACTTCAGATGACTGATTAAAATATTTAAGTTTTTTTTCAATCAATATAGCAATTAAAATGAAACTAATATTTTCGGATTTATTACTTTACTTTACTGTGATCACCTTAGCTGTAAAGTAACCTAAACGTCGGGAATGTGTAGTTAATAATCAAAAATAAAATACCGCGTAGTAAACACGAAATATAACTTTCATTTAAATGAATACTCGCGAAAATCTTAGATCTCATCAATATAGCAACAACTTCAAGGGTTTGAGACATTGTATAGTTTGGGGCGAGTTCACTGTAATAGTGCAATGTTAGTTTGCTACAATAAAAAGAAATCTCCAATGAATCCAATATAAAATATTAGTAAAGTGTTCATCTGGCGTGATACCACTGTTATTGTAACTCAAATATTAACAGAGAGAGGATTGTGTGCGTGGTGGTGATCGGACGGCAGGCTGCCTCCGAGTGTATCAGTCACCGGTTATGTTTGAACTTCTATTGATTGTTTCTGTAATATTAACAATATTTTTCCTAACAATATCCTCTATATTTTCCCTATTCGGGTTTTCCATGAGACCTCGAAAAATAAATAATAATAACAATTATACTGATTTACATTATATGATTTACAGGAAAGTTTTGGACAAACACAATGTCTTTAAGGTTTAACATAATTATTCCGTGAACAGTTAAGATTTATTTGTTTTAATGAATGTTATCCCTGCTCCCCTCGAAGCGCCCCATCTACCTCACCACCACGCGTGTGATGGCCGTCTGTCTGCGCGTTCAGTCCCCGCCACTCGCCGTTCGTTTCTCTCTATAATTGGTACACAAAGCGCTTCATTGTCCGAAGTAGCTCCATCCGACAATGGTCTGAGATGCCAAGTTCTGATATCAATCACTTGTAAGCTGTAGGTATACACGTTCTGTATCGAGATGTCGGCGAGGCGATGTCCGAGTGATTTGCACATTCGGTGTCATGATAAACATAATCATTAATCGAGAGGTCAAGCGATCGGCGACCGTTCGTTGGCGCAGTTATCTTTGGAAGGTCGAAGCGGACGCGGCGGTTCTGGAAGTGTGACACTATGTAAGTCTAGAACATCGGAAGCGCTCGTAGCCTCCACTCGGTAGATCTCGAGCTCGTAGACGAGCATTCGACCTTCCTCGTCCTTGCGGCGTGATAAGAAAACCTAGGTCCGATGGAAACGTGGGGCGGGTCGTGACCCCACTATCGCGCCCTTTTAACCGCACGTCGCTCGTCCGCCGCCTCACTCGACGCGAGCGGCTCGACATTCGCGCACCGTCCTCACTCCTCACTCCTCACCGCACTCGGATCCCACCTGGCTCCAGAACCGACCGACACTAAGAACGTAACGACGGGTGAGAGAGTCGGTCACTTCCCGCCTTCCTTCTGTCCAAGCTTCTTGATCGAGGACCTGTGTTTTGGTTTCAGCTACCTCGAAGTCTGTGGAGTGTGTGCAGCAGCCGAGCAGCATGCCGAGCGTCGTGAACGGCAGGGGCGCAGGCTCCGGCGAGGACATCGTGCTGACGGGTCTGTCGGGTCGCCTGCCGGAGTCCGACAACATCGAGGAGTTCGCTCGCCAGTTGTTCGACGGAGTGGACCTCGTCACGGCCGACGACAGGAGATGGACGCCCGGTCAGTGGTTGTAGTAGTAAGGAACCGTTAAACACGGTACACAACATGTGTATATCAATAGAGACCTTCCCGAGTACCCGCGTGTGTGAGACCCGGGATGTAACCGCTAACACTAAACCCGACGTCGCCGACTCTATTGTGTATCAATTGCGCTGAGCCGATGTATGACTGTAGGTTTTCAAGCTCTATAAGAATTGTCAGAGACGACCCGTGAGCATTTTAATTTTTTTAGTTGAAAAACTTATTTTTTTTCGTTTCTTAGCTTTACATTAAACATTTACGTAATAATTACTTTGGTTTTTACATTTGAAAAAGGCTTCAATGTAAATCGTAGGTTCTGCATCAGATTAAGTCTTATGTTAATGTTTATGGATATATATAAAATATACTGAAAAATATAATAAGAAACAGATAAGTGAGTGTCAGTTGGTCAGTCAATGAATCATGTGAAGACCTTCTTATTATTCGTCAGTAATAATACAACTCCTAATATCTTCGCCGCTTCAAGCACTTCATTCATTAAATGAATAGTAAATTTCAGTTGCCTGTTTTTTTTTGTAAGTATTTTATCTTCCGTATTTAGCGACCTGTGTTTTAATTAATATTCTTAGTTGTTCAATTTTGTCAATGTCTTGCATTTCTTAATTATAAAAATTACCATTATGTATTATGAACGTCGTGTGTTTGGTATGATCCAGTACAGATCAAAATAATATGACAACAAACAGGCAAATGATGGTTTACCTGTTATGTTAGTATGACGCTAGCGAGCGGAGAACCCGCTGACAATAAGGATTCTCTCGTAATAACCCACAGCTACAGTGCCTCGTAAACGTAAACACTCACTATCCTTAATAGTTTCCTTCAGAGGCGAGGAATAACTCTAATCACTGTGTTTCTAATTATCCTCATTGTTTTAAGTCGAATACGGTTCATCGCTATGTTTGACAAGCGATGTATACATATGTATATATTTGTTAAAAGGATATTATTTAGTACGTCCGCACTCGACATCCAAGCTCATTTGTCACACCATTCACACATCGATCAAAGTAAACACTCGGCACGTCAGTTTCATTCAATACAACAAATAATAATCATCAAATATATTTTGCTTTTCGAGTCATTTAGCCAAAAAGGATTTCAAACATGTTTCAAGGTTGACAATAATTGGACGTTGTAAACTAGATATTTATAATTATGTATATCGTTATCAATATTACTAGTGTCAGGAAAAAGATGCTGGTCATTTATTATGTAAAAACTAAAAAGTATCAATGTAAGTTAACTCAGAAAACTTAACAACCTACGTTTCCTAATAGATTTATAAGAGAAAATATAACAAATAATAATAATGAGTAAATTATAAACAAAGTAAGAAATATGTCTAATATAATATAATGTCATTTTGCTTTTATAGCGCCATCTCGTAGAATTTTCAAAAAACTGTTCAGCGAAGTCAAAACAGCAACCCTGTTTATTGAATACCCATTTGATTAATATTGAATTAAATAACTATATATGTAGTTATATTCCATTTATATGCAAACACGGAAGTTTACTTTTAACATAAAGTAAATATATAGTTGAAGTATTTCAGATGATGCGCTAATGTTTCTCAATTAGTGTGATGTTTTATTTTGTAAAAGACATCGTCCGTTTCCGTAGAAATTATTGTTGTTTGTTTTTAATTACATTTTATGTCAAATCTTACAATGATTTAACGACAACACTAGAGCACTTGTCTGTTTGTAGTTGTCAAATGTCATATCATAATACCGTCATAATGCATAATATAGAGAACTGTAGTGGCGTGACCGACCTTCTAGTTAAATATGTATAACATTATAGATTTTTTATAATTAACATTGATTATCGTTTTTTTTTCCATCTCGAACACGGTTTTACTGATATTTAATTACAAGTCTAAGAACAATATATCCATACATTTTTTTTCCTGTGTATAAGTAACAACTTTTAAGAGTTGACTCGGTATCATAGGATAGTCGAATAAATGTAATGTTTAGTATGAAAAGTTTTAATTTATTTTTGGTTCTTAAAATGATTAAACTTATAAATACCTTCTTGTTAGTCTCAGTCGGAGAATAAACCGTACTTTTAACAAGTTACAAAAATTGTTCAGATGACTAGATAATTAAAAGGAAACACGACCCGTAGTGAGCTGATGACGTCTGTTTCGTTTCAGGACTACACGGGCTACCGGAACGAAACGGTAAACTGAAAGACCTGGTACATTTCGATGCAACGTTCTTCGGAGTCCACGCGAAGCAGGCGCACCTCATGGACCCGCAGCTGCGGCTGCTGCTGGAGCTGACCCACGAGGTGATGGTGGACGCGGGGCTCAACCCCGGCGAGCTGCGCGGCTCGCGGACCGGCGTGTACGTGGGCGTGTCCAACTCCGAGACCGAGGAGCTGTGGACGGCCGACCCCGACAAGATCAACGGCTACGCGCTCACCGGCTGCTGCCGCGCCATGTTCCCCAACCGCATCTCCTACACCTTCGACCTGAAGGGCCCGTCCTTCGCGGTGGACACGGCTTGCTCCAGCTCCATGTTCGCCCTCGCGCAGGCCGTGAACGCGATGCGCGCGGGCCAGTGCGATGCGGCGGTCGTGGCCGGCACCAACCTGTGCCTCAAGCCGGCCAACTCTCTGAACTTCCACCGGCTCAGCATGCTGTCGCCGGAGGGCCGCTGCGCCGCCTTCGACGCGAGCGGTGTGGGCTACGTGCGCTCGGAGGCGGCCGTCGCGGTCCTGCTCCAGCGGCGCGGCGCGGCCCGCCGGGTGTACGCCACGGTGCGGGGGGCGCGCACCAACACGGACGGGCACAAAGTTCAAGGCATCACTTTCCCTTCGGGTGACATGCAGCGTCGCTTGGCACAGGAGACCTTCGCCGAGGCGGGGCTCCGACCCCAGGACGTGGTGTATGTCGAGGCTCACGGAACGGGAACTAAGGTACTGCATCAGGCGACATTGTCATTTTTTTTCGAGTATTTTTAAAAAAAATTGTGTACGTAATTAAATTGTAGGTCGGCGACCCCCAAGAGGTGAATGCCATCGCGGAACTGTTCTGCAAGGATCGGAAGACCCCGTTGTTGCTGGGGTCGGTAAAATCCAACATGGGTCACTCGGAGCCGGCGTCGGGCCTCTGTTCCATCGCCAAGATGCTCGTGGCCATGGAGCGCGGTGTGCTGCCTGCTAACCTTCACTATTCGAATCCCAATCCGGACATTCCCGCCCTCAGCGACGGACGCATAAAGGTAACAGAGGCTCCGTGATTCATAAAGTCATAAAACACCTCATCCCCTGTTCTCCGGTGAAACTGAGTCTGTGACATGGAGGAAATAATGGTGATATGATCGATCCTAGGTGGTAGATCGCAACACGCCTTGGGAGGGCGGGCTGGTGGCCCTGAACTCGTTCGGGTTCGGCGGGGCCAACGCCCACGTGATCCTGGAGTCGGAGCGCGGCGCGCGGCCCGCGGCGGCCTCGTACTGCGCGCCGCGGCTGGTGGTGGCGTCGGGCCGCACGGAGGAGGCGGTGCGGGAGCTGCTGTCGCTGGCGGCCGAGCACCCGCGGGACGCCGAGCTGCACGCGCTCCTGGACGCCGTGCACGCTCACAACATCCCCGGACACGGCTACCGAGGGTTCCGCCTGCTCGCCGAGCCGCCCGTCGAGGAGATCACCGTGAGTGAGGCGGCCTCCCTTATAGGGGAGGATCGGTTATATCGTACCACTTTTCACTTTAACTCAAATATTTCGACTATAACACGTCTTATAATAATTAATACATATTTTTATTTTATTTATTTATTTCAAAAAGTTATTTTACACATTTCATACATTTATTGCTTCAATACCATTGAAGAATGAATTTCATTGGTGTTGTTGTTTTACAAAAAAAATATGTATACCTTTGTACATATTTGTATATTGTTATTACAAGTACCTATTGAATAAACAAATCAAACAAATATTTGCACAGTATTGGAATCTCACTATATGATATTACAACAGCTTATTTCCTTATACTTATTATATTAATTACTTATAATATTTATAATTATGCTTATTTATTCTAATATCACATAAATGTATAAATGTATAAAAATAAACATAAAGCTTTTGGCGCGATTTCCAAGGGAATCCACACTAAGCGACCTTGTGTCGTGGATGCCTTATTTACGATTAACTATAACAAGCTCAAAAGTATTAAATCTAAATATATAAGGGAAAAGATACAAAGACAAAGACAAGTAAATAAAATGGGATAACATAAATATATAGTAATTCATATTACGATAACAAGATGTATATGTGTGTGTGTATATATATATACATACATACACACACACATATACATAAATATACACATACATAATAAAGTAAATATACAAGATATAAATATAATTATCATGAATCTGAGATCACGTTTGTACGATAAGAATTTTTTCTGTATTTTCATAAGACAATGAAATTAGCCAGTTATGGAGAACCTTTTTAGCTTCATTTAAAGTGCAGCGTTTTATGTCACATAAGCTAGTTACTTTATTATAAACAAAGTGGGAAATAAAAGGATTGAAACGTCGTGCAAAGGATGAGTTAACGGTTGATACTG